CCATGTTTTCAAATATGACAGTAGTTCATAATCAGGAAGAGAATGCTTGTGTTGTATTACTGTATTATTTGAAAACTTAGAGTTGAACTTGATCTTCAAAGTTCTAACCTTTGATTGGGATTCAGGAATTCCTCTGTTCTTCCTTATTTCAATGAATTCAAAGCTAGAAGGACCCATTAAAATAGACTATTTTCCTACATAATTACAGCTGAGGAAATCCTTCCATTGGAAGTATCTATTTAGAACAGACAGATGATTTTAAACGTTTCAGATCATGGAAAATCTGCTACATCTCTAGTATTAGCTTGCAACGGCTACCTTCACTGTTAAACAAATASACTTTATTTTTATTCTAGTCACTGGATTCTGTGATACCTCTCTAAGCCTGATTAAAAAGCCAGCTTCTCTGAAATCTTCATGCTATGTAGGCACATGCAGACTGATTTGTTGCACAAACCTTCTTCTATTATTACAGAAGTTTTTCTCCCTCACAGTAAGTAGGGAAATGAAAGGCTAATACTTGGCATACAGATTTACTCCTTGAATCTTTGCTTTTTAGGAGCAATATGCTAAGTGTTCTTGGTTTGCAGAGGAGCAAGTAATTCCTTTACTAATTTTTTTAACAGATATTTTCTGTATGTAGTGACGAGGATTTAAAGGAATCCTTGTCCATTCAACTTTTTCTGAATTCTTCTAATGTAGTTTTTTTAAAAGAAAAATAATCCAAACCTCTCCAAAAGCATAAGAGAACTTCTTTCTAGACTCCATTTTATGTCTCATACGGCTTCATTTTCTAGTCTTAAGGTTTCAGGTGTCAAATGATCCTTTAATTTGCTTCTGAATCTGTTCCAGATTTTTTTTTTGTGTTTTTATAAATGCAAATGCTAGATCAGACATACTGTTCCAGCAGTGGTGGCAGCAGTTTTGTATTCAAAAATAATGCAAAGCTCTTTTCGGTATTTCCTTATATATCCAAGGTTCAAATGAGGTCATTTAGCAACAGCATTGCCCTGACATCAGTCTGTTACTCACCTGCAGTTATAGAACAACTTTTTTTTCCCCCCGTTTCACACCCTGTAAATGTGACCTGCTTTCTACGTGCCTAGATTTATGACTTTGCTTTTGGCTTTATTAAAATTTATCTTGTTCGAATGAAGCCACCTAACCAATTGAGGCAGATCATTCTATAGAACATTTGCCTTATTACTTGCCACTCCACTAGTTTTTGCATGTTCTGCAAGTTTTGCCAGTAATCACTTTTTCAATGATCTGGAAGAAAATACAAAGATACTGAGGATTTGAGGTTTAGATTATGGATAGACTGTATTTGAAATACTAYGCTTAGATAGACATTCCTCATTTGCAACTGATAAGGAATGTTTAATGTAGCAGGTATACCTAAAATACCTCAGTTATACCTAAATTATTGTAAGCTTTAAGAATAAACATTAATAACTTTAATTGTATTAAATACAATTATTTAATCAACCCGTTACCCTAAAGATCAGCAAGGATGTGGTAGTTTAAAGTATGGGAATTAGTCAACTGCTTTGCAGTTATGTAAGGGTACGATATTTTGACTAATTTTCTTCTTTCAAGAAAAATGCTAAAGCTTGCAGCTGGAGTGCTCAAGGTACATTTCTCCATTTCCATAAAATCAATTAAACTTTTGGGGGAGATAAGAAAGCTGCATTTCACAACCACACTTTTTATTTATAGAATATAAACTCCATATGTTATTTAAATTTTAAAATAGCAGTTCATCCTAAGCTCACAGGAGGTTACTGCTTCCTGATGTCCCTGCCTAGCCATAGGGAATGAAAGATGATGCCAGCAAATGGTGTCGGGTGTCTTGATTATCATGGATCTGTCCTGTAGATGCGCTCTGAAGCGGTGTAAGCTGATCTAAGTCAGAACAATTGTAGTCCCTCCCTCCCAGTGTCCAGAGCCTCATGTTTTGTATGAACATCAGCATCCATCTGGCTCTTGTGGTGAGCTGACTCAGGGATTTAAACTAACTCGAAGCTACAAGGATGGTGGTAGCSATGCAGAATTGAGTTTTTTCCTTGGACAGGGACCTGCTAGTTTAGCAGTGCTGTAGGTATCTGAGAGCATGAGGAAGGCCAGTACTAATGTAAATTGCATTTAGCAGCCTGTGTAAATATTCTTAAGTCTCTCGTGGGCCTGTTGGCTTTCTGTGCTGGAGAGGCATCATTTTCCAGATTAGGTCCTGGACAACAATCACCCTTRAAGTTGGGATCACTGATAAAGAGGATCCGATTACATCTTGCACTTACACTTTTCAAAAACTGTTGCCTTTAACTGATGACTAATGTAGTTCCTATTCTCACATCAGAGAGATTTTTAATCTTAATTAAAAGTATAAGACTTGTAGAGGAAAAAAAGATGCACAATGCACAGGTTACAGTAATGTTTGTTTTCCCCATTGCTTCTTACACTGTGGTGATAGGCTGGGAGCTAGGGTCTTATTTCTTCAGACAGCCCAGTCGATAAAGTAACTTCAGATAGTTCCCCCTGCATCTGATTTCTGTTGATTTTATTCCTTTCAGTTTGTTAAATGCATCGATCCATCTTGGTGAACATAAGTTTGTGATTTAGCCAGAGATTCAGGAGAAGATGTTTGCAGATCATACTTAGGAAAGTGTTTCATAAAATTCAAGTATTTACTAAAATCTTTATCCTGGCCTATTCTTGCTTTAATGCCAGGTAAACTTGGACCAACTGTCAGATGACTAAAATAACATTCATACAGTAAATTTCCTAATGACCAGGTAACATTTAATATTGCTAATTGTTGAGAATAACTCTGTCCCAACAATATGTAGTATCTCTCAACCTTGCACCTTTTACTACCTGAAGAATTGGAGAAGGGCTTCTACAACATGTAGTGATAACTATACTGTTTTGCTAGGCCTGGGATTTGGGGTATTCAGTGCTCAGATGATTTCCTGAATATTAAGGACAGGATCTTTAAGAATGCCTATGTTGGTGCAGCTCCACTTCTGCTGGAATCGGTGGCACTTCACTTCCTGCTAAAGATGGRTTGTGAGAATTGGAAGTTACCTGTTCAACTACATTTCCTTAAGGAGTTGTAGCTCCATAATCGAGTTTAAATGTGTGTAAGGAGCTGGAAGGAGAATGTGTAAGTCATGGTTTGTCACAGTGCACATCARTTTTTGTTAGGCAGGAGCTGTCCTTGGTGATAATTAATATTTTAATTCAAATGTGATATATCACTCAGGTACACAAAGGCATTAAGTGAGAAGCTTTTGGACAAGTAAATGATTTGAAATGAAATGTATGGCACTGTTTGCATATAGGAAAATTGTCATAGTTTTTGAATTTTCACCTCACTCAGGTACTTTCCCTTCCCTTGTCCATGACTATTAAATCAAGTATGTCCGAACGGGGCCCGGGAAGCCTGAGTGCAGGCCTGCGAGGGGTGTCCGTGCTCAGGCCTGGCCCTGGGACACTTGCTGGGGAAGTGGCTGTGGTGGGAGCATCCGTGTTGTYACCTTCCTTCCCACCCCGGCCGGGCACCCAGGGAGGCTGCTTCAAGAGGCCATGCATAAAGTGGAGAGGATTGGCCTGAATTTTTACCAGGGACATTTCATTTTGAGAAGTATGAGAGAAAGGGAGAGCTGTAGAGTCATTCATATTGGAGGCTTGGTGTGCCCTTGGCTGAAGCTACATGTTCTGAGACACCGAATCACCCCTGACAGGCCTCTTTCATAAGCTAAATAAAGGTGCTAGGTGGTTTCTGGTACAGATTTATCAAACCAGCAGCAAACTACAGRATTTGCTTGTTGGCCTTTCCTTCCAAAGCTCAGGTGCTAGTGCGAGCGCGTGCTAAGCCTAGTGTGTGCGCTGCTTGTCTGGCATGGCAGCATTACAGGCTGTGGCAAAACCAGAGCCCAAGCCAGAGCATTGATGGAAGGGAGGGACTTGATAAAAATCCTCTGTGATTCTTGCTGTAATTCACCTCTGCAGAAGGTGTGCAAAGCAAATGTCAGTTAAAGCAATCCAAGGGATACATTTGGTCCTAGGCATGGAGAGTTCTGAGGTGAATAGGCACATTATGGTAGACAGTTTAGGTCAAGCTGTGGCAAAAGTGGGCATTAAATAGGAGATTAAGCTAGTAAAAATATTTTATTAAACTGTATCTCTATCTGCCAGTAACTCTTCCTGATTAAAGTGCCTGTAATTCTTCCTATGTGAATATTAAGATCTGCACTAACATAGCGATCCCTGTTAGAACAGGGACCTAAAATAACGTTCCATCTTTATATCTGTGAGCTACCTGCCATGCTGCAGATGTGACAGAATACTAAATAGCAGTAACGTATTTAAAATATGATTACAACTGTTTGACACTTGTAATCACATGATGGGGCAGCTGTATTATTAGGTTGTCTTTAGGAAATTGAATTACTTTGATAAAAAATGGAAATGACTGTTATTTAAATGGGAGCCTGTTTGCATAGAACAGGCAAATGGTAACTGACCAGCTGCTAAATAGGTGTGAAACACTAATCACAAATTTCTGGATCATAGGTGGAGGAATTCTTGCCAGAGACTTTTTGTATTATGACACTTAACCTAAATGTAAGAATTTCAGTCAGAAGAGCTTTGAAGATTTCAAAAGTACATCTCAATTCATATTCCTCTTTCAGATTACTCTTAGATACAAATAAAGAAGAATAAGTTAGATGATAGATCTTTGTTTCATGTTGTTGGATTTTTTGACACCTCTGGGAAAACTGCATGTTTATTTCATTGTTATTTTATATCAGTGGTCTGGGGATAATTCAGTGCAGAAGAAATAATTTAGGACTATATAGTGTTTAGTAACTTATAGTGTTTAGTAACTTATAGTGTTTAGTAACATATAGTGTTTAGTAACTTATAGTGTTTAGTAACTTATAGTGTTTAGTAACGTATAGTGTTTAGTAACGTATAGTGTTTACTTTTATCAACAGAAACCCATTGGCTTTGAATCCTCCCAGCACCTTTCTGTACCTTATTCCAAGTGGAGCTCAATTCAAACTCCTATAGATGCCCCTTCTATTTCTGAAAAAAACAGCAGCCCTCATGGCATGAAATCTTCTGGAATGACAAGCTCAAAAAGATGTTTTCCCCAAGTCTCTTGCTTAGAAGAAGGCTTGTGCAAACCACCTGGAAGCCCATTTCCTGTAAGGTTCATCCCTGCATCTCCTGAGAAGGCTGTCAAAGGTTTTAAGACTTACGTCTACCGGTCTCCACAGTATAATGTGGAGCAAGAAGGTGAGAAGTGTTTCCTATCATATGTAATTCTCAAAATCAGAAGAAAATGAGTATTTTACTGTTTGCTTATTGCTGTCTTTTCTGTCATGTGGGCCACACTCTCTTGTGACTTCACACTGGTACTTTTACATGTAAATTAATAGGGTTTGGCAGTGTATGAGCTGTATTATGATCTTTTCAAGGTCTACAAGCATAGAATAACTTGCTTTATGAATAATGGCCAGCACTAAAGCTGCACAATGAAAAAATCTCAAGCAAAATCCTGAATGTTTTAAGAAGTATTTTCTTTTTCTCACAAAAAATTGCTTTTTCTGTAGAAAGCAAATAATCTGGATGCAAAATACTGATTTGTCAAAAGCTCTGCTTTTCATCAAAGCAGAATATTGTTATTCAAAATTTTCTATGTCAAAAATGACCCTTACATTTTATTTCCACAATTTCTTTGAGTCTCTCTGATGTGCAACTTAATGAGGTAAGATGGCATGGGAATCATGTGACTGTCCTGTGACTTTCACATGTTATCAATTGAAGTGCAGTGGAAGGCTGTGGTTTGGGCTTGCTTTATTTAATTCCCTGATGTTCTTGTGAAGTTAGATTTTTTTTCACTTAAGATCATAAGCTTTCAGTTTCAGAAGAGTTTCATTTTCCATGCATCTGTGTTTTATTTTAAAGACTGGAATTTAGTACCCTTTTAAACGTGAACGTCCTGGCTTTGTATATTCTACTGCAATTTTCTAAAGAGGAACACCCCTATAATATTAAACTTTTGTACAAAGATTGCCAACATTTTTAAACCTGGCCTGCTGGTAAGTTTTTAATAAGTGCCACAGATTCTTCTTGAAGTAAAACAAAAGCATTTTAAAAGGCTTCTGAATGCCTATCTCTGAAGGAGAAAAAATACAACTTTGATTTTTCTTTTTTTTTTTTTGCAAAGTTAATTTGGAGCTATTTAGCACCAAGAAACCTGTTTTTTTTTTTTTTTTTTTGCAAAGTTAATTTGGAGCTATTTAGCACCAAGAAACCTGTTTAAGCTTTACTCCTTTGCCTTTGTTTAGAGATAAATCTCTTTGTTCCTAGAGATAGGAATGAAATCACTAAATATTGCAAGGTATAAACCGAATCCAGTTTCCTGTCATCTTTTAACCTATAGACTTTTATTCTGTACAGTTGACCCAGCTCCCACAGTACTSTGGCATTTGGTAAGATCAGAAGGAAAAATGGTCTCCTTTGCTTTTTAATAGGAATGTTGAAAAAGTCTACTCAGCAATTCTGAAGCTCCAAGGATCTATTTTTACGTCTAGATTTATTTTTTACTTTGTTTTTCATCGTGAAGGAGTGCATCTGCCTTTGCTGGATGACGCCTCCTTTCAAATACTCCGAATCAAGGAGCCTCTCTGTAGATATCTGTATAGATGTCCAAGGAGTTAAGCTGCAGCTAACAGGAACTCATAGAGGACACTGATAGTGATATGCAAGTGTGTACGTGTGTGAAAACATTGTAGAAAGGAGACCTGATTCTTGCACTAACTTACCTCAATAGCTAAGTTAGCCCAGCAAGAAGATGCTGATATCTGTTGTCTAATTGGAGTAGGTGTGCTTCACTGGGTTTCTTCAGCCACAAAAGAAAGTGTTTCTGCAGAGAGAAAATGTCTAGTAAAGTTATACCTACAAGGAAAATCTTAGAGCAATGAAGAAAAAAATATTTTAAATCTATATTTTCATCAACTCGCATTTTGTTCCCCTTGTACTGCTTTATTTCTTGAGCTACTGGTATTGTTATAGGTTGAATTATCTCCTTTTCTGTTTTTCTTTATTCTTGTGTTGGTAAAAGTGCAAAATAGACAGTATTAGTTCTATTTCTCCATTAAAATTCTCATTCTCCAAGAGAACAGTGCTGAGCCTGCCACCTTCCCAAGATTTCACCTTCACTCCTAAAGGAAGGTTTGTAACACCTTGAATTGTAATTGTCTAAGTGAACACAGTTATTGAGTTGCATCTCTTCTAACGCTTTCATGATTTGGGGACTCTTCCGTGAGGATAAAGAATAAAATAGCTCCCAAGGAGGTAGTGTGAGCTTTGCTGTGCTGTTGCACTGGAGTAGACACGAGCTGCTAGAGCAAACTCAGCAAAGCTACAGGGCCCTCTTCCTAGCAAGTAACACCCCACTTGCTTAAGTCGGTGATGTTCCAGTGGACTTCAATGCGGTTACTATTCAGAGCAGAGATTTCAGGAATGGCTCAAAGCATGTTAATAGCCCCACTTTCTATACTATGTTAATAAAATCCCACAAATTTCATTATAAAATCACACAAATTCCATGAAAAAAACTCCTACCTAAAATAATCAATCTTCTAATTTCCTATATGTCTCAGCACTAACCTTTTTTAAATAGTAGTGAAGCTAGATTTCCTTTGCCTTCTGTGGTATTGGAAATGCGTAATATGTTAACACTGTATTTGTTTCACTGCTTAAGTGCAGGCAAGCAGATTTATTCATTTTAGCCCTTGATAACTGCAGCCTTTCAGAGTGCTCTCCTCCTCATTAAGTTTTACTAAATACGCTGTTGTTTTTTTCTAAATATAAGTGGCAAAGAAAAGCATCCCAGGCATGTAATTTCAGTAGTATCTTCTTCCCTTATGACTCATTACTGCTGAAATCAACACAACTTGGGATGTGCTCAGGAACTTCAGTACCTCTTTAATGTTTTCAAATAGTAACATCTATGTATGTTTATGACTTCATGCTCTGCCTTAGAGTTTGTCCTAGCAAGTGCTTCTAGCTGTTAAATTGTTGTACTTTGTAGCAAATAAGGTCCTTGCGCTTTGTAAAAAGCGAGAGAATTATTATTGATTATTTAGTTGAGCTTAACAGCTGCACTGCTGCAAAAACAGACCCCTTTTGTCAGCCCATGTTTTTTTTAACATGCAGATTTGTTTGGGACTTGCAGCATATATTGAAAAATAGCTGATGAGGTTGGTTTTGTTTTGTTTTCCTTCAGGACATGACCAAACCCTTCCTTTCATTATCTTCCTTCATTTAGAGACAGTAATGCCTCTGGTTTTGAACCTCTGTGTATATTCTTGCAGACCTACTTACTGCAGCCTGCTGTCCACTGCAATGAGTGGCTTTGGATATAGAGAGGGAAAGGAGAAGAAAGATGGGGTAGATACCCAGGAAAGGAAGGAGTATTTTCAGGGAATAGCAGTGACCTAAAAGACCCTCCTTTAAGAGGTGGTTGAAGAAAGAAGGCTGGGAAGGAATCTGTACGGGAGGAAGGACACAACCATTCTTTGCCATGCTTACACACGTGTTTGTGTAGAGGCTATACGAGAGAGGGATCTTACAGAGACATTATATTAAATCATGAAGGAATGTCATCACAAAATGCTGCCCCCTGTGCATTGATATCAGAATGGCTGATGTTTGAATGAAGTTTCATGAATCTGCAGTTTGGCAGTACTGCTGGTTTGGGGACTCTAGTCAAAGGGCAATTTTCTGGATCCATTTCTGGAATGTTAGCGGGAGAATTGTGCGTGACATTACTCCATCACTGTTGTTCTGCATCTGTGTAGTGTATTCAAAGGTTTGTGGCATCTAAATATAGCAAATAAATGAGCTATCCTTCAAAGCTCAAAGTGCCAGTAAAACTGTGAAGTATAAAATGGAAGTGCCAGAATATGAGAGATGTTGCAAACTGGCGTGTAAAGAGGACAGAATATCAGCAAGAAGAGCCTTGTGATTTAYACTAATATTAAGTCATCTCATAGAAGATGCCTACCTGGCATTYGGAGCAGTAGTGCCATGTGCTGGGAGAGTTCAAAGATATCCTGTGAAGCCTTTTTGTGTGCATGATGATACATAAAGAAAGCTTGAAAGGTCTATGTCACTGAGAGAATTTTTCTGCTTGACTTCTACATTTGAAATTCAAATTTTCTGTGTTGATTGGGGAGCTAATGAAATGTTAATAATCACAAGAAGCAAGAGGCTGAAAGTTGTGCAACTCAAAGGATAGAGGGTTTAGGGTCAGTCTGCTTAAAATGGAGTTTGCGAAAATTCATAAACCTACTGAACACAAAATGGAAGATATACCACAAAATAGAGAAGGCCGGTCTCCCTTGTATCTTCAATGTGAAGTGAATAAAACTGTCCTGATGGAGCATGTGAATTTGCCTATAACATAGAACATGAAAAAAAAAAACTGATAACGTGTGTTGAATCAACATGTACATATTTTAAACAGTAGGGGAATGATCCCTGGACAAAATGATGTAAAAATTAAAAAAAAAAAAAATCATAGGGAACATCTTATTTCTGTGCTGCTGCATACCATCTTTACTGCTCCAGGTTTGGCACTCCACGTATTGGAGCTACATGATTTGATGGTAGCTTTTTCCTTTTTCATACTTGAATGCCGGAGGACTTTGCATGAGTCTTTTGCCAGGCTTTTCATGGGTGTTTTCCCAGGGAGAGAGCTGCCCCTGTGAGTGGATGCAGGTTGCATTTGCTGGATTGAGGTAAGAGAAGCTGATATGATCAGTCATAGTTGATGGAAAGCCTGAATCTCACTTCAGAAGCAAGGATGCATTTGCCAGTGTGCTGAAGCGGGGTGGATGGTGCTCGGAGGAAGGAGCCTCTGCAGTTCTGCCTGGTCCCTTCAGTTCTTCCCTTGCACTGTGGTGTGATTACAGAGATACTAAAACAATACAGCAAACAAACAAAATATGCCTGTTCGTAAGTGAACACAATATAAAATATAAAACATAAATATGTTGTGTGCTGAACAATAACGCACAACACAATTAGAATATGTTAATTTGGGGAAGTAAGTACAGAGGACATATTCTTATTTTGTAAGAAAAGCTTATGGAGGGATAAGACAAGTTAGGGGAAAGGAAGGAGTTTTTATAGTGTACCCATATTTGAAGTCTATTGAGTGTTTTTGCTATCTTTGGATCTTCTAAAACAATTGCTGCATTTGTACATTCCTAATGAGATCTATTCTAAAGCAGTTTTTGTGCTTAAAAGTGTTTTGGTTTTCTCTATGCTTGTGAATATAAAACATAGCTCTGTGGAGTGTGTGGTCGACTTGCATAATGATTTGGAGTTCAAAATTAATTGCAGAGTGACATTAGAGAAAATGTCTGCAGTGTGGGCATGTGTTTGTCGTTTCCCGGAGAAGGTTCTTGTAATTTTTCCTGTAAAAAAACATAATGACTTAGTGTCTTTCTTGGGCTGACTGTTTGTGTATGAAACAATATATTTTACATCTCCCTAACGTTGCTTGTCTTTTTTTAGAGGAAATAAGTGTAACTGAGTTGTTCTTCAAGATTGACTCGGTGAGTAGAGCTTTGGAGACTGAGAAAAATGCCAACTTTCCATCTCTCAGGTAAGACCTGAAATAACTGGCTAGTTTCATCTCTGAGACACAAATAACTTGTCCATGATTTTTAATAGGATTTTGTTATACTTGTATTTTTAATTATAAATTATATTTWAAAAACTTTTATTATAAATAATAAAAGAAATTACAAAACCTGTGTAATCTAAGTCATCAAGTTCTGTGAAATTTAGGAATAAAAATTCTGTTTGATTGCTTGTGGAATTAATATTGCCTCTTAAATATGTAGATTGTTTCTACAATCTCATTGAAGAATGCAAGATAAGCAGTCTTTTCAGTAATAAATTTCAGTTGCTAGAGTAGACCTGAAACTTAATCTGAGGGCTAAAATCAGGGAGAAGTGTAGTGGAGTCCCCTTGTTTCCATGTCACTGAGAGCGCAGAGTTAGATGAATCGGTGGAAGTTGGTGTGAATTAGAGCTATTTGTGAGCAGGGCTGGCTTTTGCTGCTGCAGGATCAGAGAGCTCCACCCAACTGCCTCTGTTCTCTCTGTTTCTCCCTTCATGCTTGGGATCATAGTGGAGACAGTGGAGAATCTAGTTGCTCATATTCAAAACCAATCTCCTGTTCACCCCATAGTTATAAATAATAAGGGAAAAAAAACAAGATATTGGATGGATGAAAATTACTGAGCTGCCTTGACTTCAATAAAATAGTGCTAGTTTAGAACAGGTGAGGCTATAACCTGAACCTGGCAACAGAGATCAGCTTTTCCCTTCTTTCTGTTCCATCATGGCCCAATCATGTCATGGCGCTGCCCTCCCTTGTGGCTGCCGCAGCTCTCCTGATACAGCCCGGGTCGAGGCCGTGCAGCTCTCAGCTCCCGGCTGCAGCCCTGCACTCTGGTGGGACCGTGTGTATGAAGACCCACAGGAGCAGCTCTAACCCCGCATGGATGCTGCTATGCAGCCTTGGCAGATACTTTGAGAACTGAATCCTCACCAAAGTTGCTTTCTGCTTTTGATAATTCAAAAGATTTCTCATACATCCGTATCATCACTTCAGACACCTTTCCTTACATTAATGCCTCAAAACGGTTGGCAATAAGTTCCTCTTATAATCTGAATTTTAGCACTTTAAGGAACATTCTTAGTGGAATATTTTCAAATTTTGAATTGCAGTTTAGAATATTGGTGGAAGAATATAGACCCCTAAGTGTGTAATCTGGGAGATTTACAGTTTTATCTGTTTAGTAGGGTAATTGTATTTGCCTTGGAATGAGCACAGTAGAAATAGCTGCTCACAGGACACTTTAGATGTATCAGTGAGCTTTGCCTGTTTCTTTCCAGAAATCCCCAAAGGAAAACTGAATTGCAGCTTATGAAAGACTTCTCATTTGCTCCTCCTTCCATCTTCCTTAACTGTATGGATACATCAGAAAAGAACAAACCTTCATATATTTACTAAAATGATTATCTGTTGATTTTACAGTCTTTCCATTGCTTAGTATCCTCTTTCCTTACTCAAGTCCTTGTGTGCAGCTAGATGGAAGGGGGAAGTATTATCATAATGAGGGAAGGGATTAGGGAGGAATCAACAACAACAAAATAGCAAAAGAGCACTGTCAGGTAGAAAAGAATAGGATAAACCTGTTTCCAAACACCCCAAAAGAGAATAAAAATTCACAGGACTCATTCTCCTAGTTTTATGCTGCTTAATATTCACTCAATAGTTATCATTTAACAGTTTAACAGCAGTAAGGTATCTGTAGGCAATGCCACTAGCCCAGACTTGCTTCCCACTTTGGACAAATCTCTCTTCTGGTGCCACCATAGATAATATTTTCATACTTCCATTCATTCACTTTACACCAACATAAGTGTGAACTGCTCACAGTTGGAATGAAAAAAGTCTGTCTATGAAGAACGAGACTGAAGCCATTAGTTTATTTCATTTTATTGCAAAGCGGTTTTTAGAGTGTAATGACTTTTAGGCCTATCTAATTAGAACAACTAATTTAAAAATTACAGACTCTCCAATTAGCAAATCCCCAACCTCAAATCTAGTGGTTATTCCATAGGTTCATTAAGACTCCTATTTGAAGTGTTAAGAGTATATTTTAAAGTGATATTTTACGTGGTGTGAGAGCTCAGTGTTTAATCTTGTAGAAATAGAGTAGATCAAATTTTCTTCTGTTTTTATTTTTAAAACAGATCCTTTGAATTACCTATTGCTTCTTCTAGACCATGTGGCCTTCCTCAGTTTAAGATCACATACAAAGGTAAAGAATAAATCCTACTCTTGCTCTCAGAAAAGGTCTAATATATATATATATATATATGTCTGTAAAGCGTATTAGGAAGCAAAAGTTATGCTGAGTTTTTTGAGAGCCTGAGGTATTTTTAAAGAACACCTTATTTTTTTAATTTTCTCCAAAACTTCAAACGTCTTGAAACTCACCAAATTAAATTTTTCTTGTATTTGTTAGTTTTTTCTATACCTCCACATATCCCAGTGAATGCCATTCTGTATTTATCTTCTAACCTCTTTCCCAAAGAACAGTCTTTGCAAGGTTACTTGACACCCTTATCCTCCAGCATTCAAATCCAAAGTGAAAGGTCACTTACTGTGTTTTGCTGACAGCTATTACACATATTACTTAGTGCACCTGAGCATGTACCAAGAACTTGGCTGATGGACAGTACTGCTGTCAAGTTCTGGTTTATCATCCTGCCTCTAACCACTGTAGCTTTGATTCCTGATCCTGACTTTCATATAAGTATCACTTTGTCCTGCCTCTTATCCCAACTGCTTCCTGCATCCAAACAGTCTGCTTAATCCACATCTGGCTGAATGGTCTGGCCCTGACCCTCAGCTGGGCCTTGTCCTTTCTACCATTCCCTGCTTGAACCCTGATCTCAGCTTGTGCTGACTCTTCACCAGCCTGAGCTGCTGTAGTTGGAGAACCAGCTTGCAGCCTGAACTCCTTTTCCTCTGTGGAAACTCACTAAAAATAATGCCTGTGAAGAGAGATCTGCAGTAAAAGCTTCTGATGCAAAATTGAGTACTTAATGCTTTTGTAACCTGAGGAATTTACTTAATCTCATCTTTTTCAGTCCAAGGGCACTGAGAGATAGGTAAGGTATCTGACTCTTGCGAAAATAAGACACTTCTCTGACCTGAGTTTTCCTTGATAAACAGAAATAATAACAAAAATGCGTTTAGTGTAAAGGCCTCCTAGGACTCTCAAAAACTTAACTGGGCTCTTAATCATGATAGTCACTAACCATTTTCTTAATTTAGTGAAGTTAAAGGTCCCCAGACTGGCTATTGCTAACAGCAAATTGGTCTGTTTTTTGGTTCTCTGCACTGTACACCCTTGGTGTAAAGAGATGTAAAGCTATAAAAGGCAATGGATACTGAAACAATCAGGTTTTGAGAATGAGTTAACATCTGTTTTTCCTTCGGATGCAGGTAACTTACATTTCATAATGCGTTTACACATTATACAATATACATTTTGATAAAAACAAACAAGAAAACTGATCTAGGCTAGGGGAGTTTTCAATTGCAGTTTGTGCTTTGGTGCTCCCTTCGTTACAAGGAGRAAGCAACCAGTTAGCCTATTCACTACAGGATTACTTTTAATTCTTGGTCTGCTAGCAAGCGAGATTGATGTCTGCTCCCACCACTCATGCTATGCACATAAATAGAAACCTCTATGGTGTCCTGAGAGCTGTAATGTTAAATGGCGCAATTTTTGGTAACAGTTTGCAGTTTTCGTTTTTGAAAATAAATACCCAAACTTAGCAATGTGTGTACACGGTTAGGACTTTGTGATATTGGCCTTCTTGGATCTATTGATGAGAAACATAGGCTCTGGTTCTGTTGCTGATAAGTGTGGGCAAACCCTGGATGTATGCAAATCTCTGCTTTCCTTATGTGAATGCTTACAATGAATGGAAAACAGAGGAACGTAGTTTAACAGCATAGTTTAAAGCATAATAGGTGATTATTGGTATTAGACATCCTGTACATGTATACTACTTGTGGTGAAAGTTGAATCAAAGCATGCTATGTGATTTAGTTTGTTACATCTGTACTGAGAGTCTTATAATAACTCACAGTATCTGCAAAAGTGTGAATTTCAAATAAAAGATTTTCAAAATTCGTTTTGTGCTTTAAGTGCATTTCAGCTCTTAACTAAAGAACATAAGTTGCAGGCCATCTATCAACAACTTAAGCTACAAATGAATTTTTCATATGCTCACTGAATTCAGGAATAGGAACTTTTAAATAGTGATGGTAATAGCTAGCAACATCCAAGGAAAATATGTTTTCTAATGATTTATTCAGTAATTATTACCAATGCTCTTCAAACTATACTCAAGCAACTGTCAAACTTGCTGAATACCTAAGTTAAAAAAAAAAAAGTCAGGATTAATTCTAAAATGTTTTTAATAAATTACTCTAGTCCAGCTGTCTTACAAAGTAAAAGGACCAGAACATTTCCCATATCTTCTGGAAATGAACAAATTGTCATTCCTCTTGTAGGAGAGGCACTGTTAAGAAAGCTAAATAATTCATTCTGTTAAATTGAGGCAAGAGCTTTAAGACTGAAAACAAGTGTATGTTCTTATGGATCCATATCAGTGTGTTTTAAAAACTAGGCATACATAGAAGTACACATGAATACCTGAGATCTGCTGATCTGCTTTGCCTGCAGAATCAGCTTAGGCTGATAGTGCAGAATGGATGTTATCTTTTTATTTGCTAATGCTAAATAAATATCGACTTGCACTTTGTCAAACATAAATAACAAGAATAACAACATTTGGTAATGTTCTGTGAGATGATTAGTATAACACCTTATAGTATTTCCATGACCTGTCAGAGATCTTAACATCTTGTGTAACAGAGAGATTGCACACATTTTGTCAGCATTTCAGTCTTGTTTCAGGACCAAGAGGAGAATTTTCACAAGTGTGAAAGTCTGTAGGTGAGGAAAAACTGGGGGAAGAGGAATTAAGGGGGCTCTTTTGCTCTCTTCTATCCTTCTTTAAGTTCATACTGGTATTAGGGCACAGGGGAACTAAATGAATTTAAGGCAGTGCAAACTGCAGCAGACCTTTCTTTCCTTCTGGAGGAGCACTGTGGCCTGTAGGTGCCTGAAGAGCTTGCAAGTTGACTTGGAGCCTGCTTTTCATTTCTCCTTCTATCTAGTGTGACATCTTTGGAACAGAACTTGTACTGTTTTTCTCTTTGATTTCTGCTGTTATTCCTCATATAGAGGTGATTGCATGCTGAAGATTTCTCTTTCAATGAGCTAGGTAGACTGAGTTAAATCATGGCTCTAGCCTATCTCTATCAGCCAAAACCAATCCAAGCCAAAGGAGTAGATGACAAATATGTGAGAAATCAAACATATTTGATGATAAGGAAATAATGCCAGAAACCTTGCATTGACTTGGTTCATCCTTATTCATGAACAGACATGAGTCATCATCAAGCATTGAATTGAACTTAGTTCAGCTTTTTCAGCCTGTTGCCCCCCTCTATTTCTGTCATATAGAATAATTATTTCCTAGCATAAAAATGGCTGCAAGTTGGAATTCAGTTTTTGTCTAGAAGACTTTAGGATGTATATGTTTCAGTTGAAGTTAGTCTAAATAGCTGGAAACTGGACTTTGTGATGCGGGAGTGATGACCAGTTTCGATGAGGAGGGCTGGCAGCAACACTCACATGTATGGAGATGTGGTTTAAGAAAGACTCCGTGAACATTTTGACAACATTCAATGTTGAATCTTCACGTGAGCTCTCTGATTTACACACTGAGAGACTAAAATTCTGCTTGGAACACCTGCATGAACAAACAGCTTTTATGCCTGGGCACAGTCAGCTCAGTAGTACTGATGCCTCTGGAAAGGCTCATCCTGGCCAATAAGGCTCCTTTACTGAGTTGAAGCAGTGTACACTTCCCAAATCCTTGTTACTTTGGTTATGATAGAGTTAGTAAGGGACAGAAGATAACATCACAGAAACTATAAATCTATAAATATTTGTCAAACCTAAATTTTCTACAGAGAGGTCCTATATGGAAAAAAAAATCAATTTTAACACTTTTGAATACCTTGWTTGAAAAATAACTTCTACCGAGAAAATTAATTTTCCTACTCTGTTTTAACAGATGATACTAACAAGAAATCTGTTTCCTGAATAAATGGCTTGTTGCAATAAAGGCCAGAAACTGAAAGGCCAAGTGTTGGATGCTGCAGCTTTATCCATGACAGCTGAGCAGTTTTGCAAATCTGGTCTTGAGAACTGAAGGGCTGTCAAAAGCTGGAGCCCTTTGCATGTGGCTCTGGCTCACATTTAATTAGGGGTTGTTGCAAACTGCGCTGCCTTCTGAGCGTGCACTCAGTGGGAAGACGCCCASATCCCTTTTTATTCTCTAAAGGGATGCTGCTTAGTTGCTGGGCATAGGCAGAAGCATAACCCTAGCTCTAATTCCTTTGTGGATCACCATTTTAGAAAATAAATTCYGTTCTGAAATAAGAAAAGGACCTTTGTTCAGTGGCATTTGGCTAGAATGAGAGTGTGGAAAAAATCAAGACTAAGATTCAATTTCAACACACAGAAGTAGTTTTTTAAAGAACAATCAAATTGCTTTTGTGTGCCTTATGCACCTGTATTTTACTTATGGTGTTAAAGAAATGACCGATTTTTATATCAAAAAAAAAAAAGTGTCAGATGAAGATACATGTTTTTAGATCACAGTGTAGCTGCTTTGTCAGAAAGTGCTTCTAAATGGTGGGGTTGCTGGTAATGAGCACTAGTACAACTGTACTTTTAAACAGTCTGCCCCAATTCGTGGGTGCTGTTTTGTGATKGCTCGCAACAGGAACCTCTGGAAAGGGTTATTTTTCTTGTTTGATTCCTCACAGGTTATGATMATATATCATTCAGGAAAAGAAAAAAAAGCACACACTGATTTAATAACATAAAAATATACAGCTGATGGGCTTTTTCATAGGAAAGTATGTGAAATATTGTTTCATTTYATGGAGGAAATTATAAATTGGAAATAGGGTTTGGAGAAAAGAAAGTTGAAAAAAGARCTGTAGTACTGCAAGTAAACAGTATGTTTTTCAATACAACTTGCAGCATAAAAAAAGAGGCAAGGAAACTTCATATTACAAGATGGGAAATGAATTTGGTCTTTATGAAAGTCAGTGTGTTGCTCAGGACCTTCATGTTTTCTTTATCACTACAATCAAAGG